AGTCTGTCTGTATGTATCTATCTATCTATCTACACACACACACACACACACACATACATACATACATACATAGATGAAATGTGTTTGTTTGCACCCTAATTCCTATTGGGCTAATCACAACAAACATTTGTATGTAAACACTATGAACTATGGGAATGTCCTAAGAGGGTCAAAATTGAACTTAACCCTATTTCTATTTTGTAAAGCCTGTTGGTTAATTACTCCCACCCTATTGAGTCAATCTTAAACAATTCAAGAACAAAGTATGAAAGTTGCTGAACTGTTTCTCAAACAACTATACTTTTCTCATGATCAATGAGATGTAGGGTGGGATAACCACAAAATCTTTATTTGTTGGTAGATGGAAAGCAAACTGCAAATGTTGTTTATGAAGAAGCTTTGTTATAATTTTTAAATTTTGAGATAAAGATATGTTCAAGTTATTTCTTTCAAATATATGATTGCTGTTAAACTTGCACTATTTTAATTAAGTTTAAACATTCCCTGTCAGTTGACAGGTATTTCAGCTTGTGTACATATAAATAGATATCAGTCACATACAATGACTGCAAATACAAGAATTTCATACAATTATCTGTTTATTTCAAATCATTATAAAAAGAAGTGCTTTCTAAAAAAAATTGAAATACAAATACAATTCCTATCTGTTCCAACACTTATAAAAACCTTTTTGGTTATTAGTGTTGAGATACGCCACTTAAAATAATTCACAATTAGAATATGTACTTCTGAGAAAACTACACTATTTCCTTCCTCAATATTATCCAAACTCAAGACTTCTCACCTTACGTTTCAGAAGACTAAACTGTACAGAACAATTACAACATGTAGTATTTTGGACTTCTCTAGATCCAAAAGTAAATGGCCCTGGAAAGAAACATCCATTTCTGATGCTTTCACAATATTTCTGGTTAGATGAAGGATGTCTTGGCTTCTTTTGCTTAGATCCAAAAAATGAATCGCACATTGTCCTGAAACAAAAAATGGACATATTAAATATCCAAAAATAATAAGTAGTAACAATTAAGACTAAACATGTTAAAATCATTTCATTTAATACTTACATCTATCACAATTTAAGTTTAATTATCACACATAGAAGTGCTTTATGTGCAATTTTTATTTTAAACCATGATAATCATATATGTACGGGTCTTAACATCTACATGGAGCACACGATCAACGAGTTTTGAACTTTGATACCTGATAGCTATGATACTAACACATAGAAACAAATTTTTTTTTCCTTTATAGCAAGTAGCATTTACAAGATTCTTATCATGATTAAGTTAGTTTGCAATTTTTCAATAAATAAAAGTTTTAACTTTATTTTTATTGTACAGCAAGTATTTGTCCAATTTTAGTCTTACATGAATATTAATTTTTTAGAAAGAAGACTGCCTTGCTAAATGTGAAGCAGAACTTTTGTCACTTTAACAAGAAGTTGAGATATCTTTATCATTATAGAACCCCTGATAAATTTAGCATTTTCCTCACCTGAAAATGTATTTCAGATAGATACTTTTCCATAGCACAGATAGAGCTGGACAATTTGATTCATAAATACAATTAATTACCTATGAGCAGCAATTATATTAATTACTGTCATGTAAACTAATCAATTAATCAAAATTAGTGTTCCCAAATTATTACTGTCATTAATTATTCTTAGAAATGATTTGTCAAAATTACAATTAAATCAACTGTCACAAAAATAATCAACTAGTTGAAATTATGACTGACTGTCAGGAAAATTGCTAATCTATAGCATTTTCAATTATTCCAACTATCCAAGTAAATGAAATATTGACATTAAGTTTAATTGTTTTTAAGCACAAAGTTCCATAATGGGAGTGGGTGTCTTGTGACTTGATTATCTTAGGTTCGGTTCTTATTGTCACTAAACTTTTTGACCATCTTTGTTATGACAAAGCTACTAAAGCTGTCACTACTTTTGAACTGCTGACTAGAGAAAAGGCAACTATCTGGTTGTATCCACTGCCAGTTTTTGGACTAAATGGTTTATTTTTGCTGTATGTATATCATGGTTTGAGCAACACTGTACTAATTGATTAGCAACTACCACTAATCACCTAGCTCTAGTCTCCAATATTAGTAGTAGGGATTATTTGTGTGTGTATTTTGTACCGAGTGGTAAAAGCCAAAGTTGAAATGAAATGAAAAATCCACAAATCACCACTGAACCACTGGAAAAATTGTAAAATAGCCAAAACCTAGAGGCAAATGAAATCAAAATGTGGGGTAAGCTATATGATACAAAGGTGTTGGGAGTTGCCTACCTCCCCACCTGCAAGATCTCCTCCAGTGGATGTTGATGGCTAGAGGCAAAATGAAGAACTTGATGGGAGGTGACATGTGAAAAACAAAAAGATGTCATCTCCCATAGAGGAATAACAAGCTGGATGAGTTGTTTAATCCAAATGGTCAAAATGGAAAGAGATAAGTCATAGGAAGAGGATCCCATGGCAAAAAAAGACAATGTTGACTTCTTCTAAATGAAGCAGTGCAAGCAAGATAAGAGCAAACTACTAAAAACAGAACAAAGGAATAATTACAGAGATAAGGGAAGAGAGAGTGTTTGGAGAAAACATCCAATTACCAGACAGGGTAGTCCAAGTCTTGAGAAGGAAGGAGCAGTCTGGGAATAAAATCAACCTATCCTTGTGGTAAAAGTGTGGGAGGCACTGAAGGCAAAATTAATAAAGTAACATTTCCCATAAGTAAGAAGAAGTAAATACATCTTAAGATAAAGAAGAGATGAGAAAGTCAATTCACCACCAAGTTTAAAGCTCCTAGGACATGGCAGGCTACCAAATGAATGTGATGGTCATGGGCCCAAAAGGGAAAGTCTAGAAAAGAAAATGGAGGTACTAAGAGTTGATTGATTCCAGAAAGTACAGTGAAGTTATCAGAATGGATCATGACAGGATGTCCATACAAATGAGACAGAAGACAATGGCATGGTCATTTAACTACCAACAACTTAAGAATTTTGTTGTGGAGAAACCGCTTTTTTGGAGACCAGACATTGGAAATGATGCAGGTCTCCAATACTGCAACTCACCCATATAGAAGTACCTGTAAACAGATGTGAGTAAGAACAGGATGAGAGAAAAGTGATGCTCTGGGGTATGTGTGGGGACTAATTGAGTCACCACAACAGTGAGAGGTGAAAAGATGGAGGGAGACAGTGTATCTCTGGATATACTCCACTGATGTGTAGAATTTATTGAAAGGGACACACATTAGTGCATATGAGAGAAATAAGGGACTCAAGAGAAACTATAATCCCCAAAAGAGACAGAACCTCATACACATAGAGAGAGAAGGAGACAAGAGCTTTGGTAGTCAGAAGTTTCATTTCTTGAAGATGTAAAGAAGGATGGGCATGCCCTCAAGCAATTTGAGAAAGGCCCCCCATGTGAATCAAATATTTAGTGGGGGGCAATACTGACATGGGAGATTGACCAGCCAATCCAAATGAGATGGCTCCCAAAGGAGAAGAAAGGTTGCAGCAGAGAATGTTGCTGGATTGAGCAAGGAGACAGTAAATGTAGGCACAATAAATTAATTTCCATGTGAAATCAGTCAAGACAGGACTGAAAACATACAGAGGCATAGTCAACTAAAATAACAGGGCATTGAACTGAAAAACCTGACCATTGTGGAAGAAATGGGGAAGCAATGGACAACTGAATGAATGTGGAGAGAACACCCACCTCAGGTTGAGAAAACATTCCATCTTAAACTGAAGGATGACAAGAAACTGGTTCAAGGTTGATATATCTGTGATGGGATGCCAACCCCCTTCTTTGGAATGATAAAAAATATTTGAATAAGACCCCAGAGCGGAGTCAAGGAGTTGTTCCACATCACATTCATTCCCAGGAGAGAAGGCACAGCCTCCACCAGATGCCAAAGACATAAGGAAAGCTGAAAATGGTGGGAAGGCTATTGAACAAGGAGGAATAGGAGGTTGGTAACTGAAGTTCAGTGCTATGTGATCCCTATAGTGTTAGAAGGTAGAAAGAGTGGGAGGAGCAAAAGAAAGAGCAACCCAATGAAGTTTCTGAGGATGAGAAACCTGCTACGACCCCTGGACAGAGAAAAGTAGGACACAAGTGAGAAGAGATGACTGATGATTAGCCACATCAGATTGAGTTTCTAAGGTATAAAGAACTCCCTAAAAATGTCCTCTAAAGGAAAGGGTGCCAAACAAAGTTCATTGAGATAAGATTGAGGGAGCCAACTACAAAAAAGGCACACTGACTAAGTAAACACCAAATCAAAGAAACCAAATTAACTGGGACACTGTAGGAAAAGGAAATAAAAGCCAAGGTGGAAAACTGGTATAGCAAATGTTTCTACTTAGCTGTTGGGGTAAAATTGAAAAGCCTCAGAAATATGGTAAAAGGTAGACATATGGCATAGAAAGTGAGAAAATAAAAAAGAAAAAACAGGTAGATTGAGGATAAGAGAGAGAGAGACAAAGTAGGAGTTCCCAAGACTGTAAAAAGACACTCAAAGGATTGAAGCTCAACAAAAGAAAATGAATCTTGACCATATGTCATAGAATAAGATTCTCAAGGTCTGGGAAAATATGGCAAATAAGGAGATCAATATAAAGTTTAGACAAAAAAAAAATCAGCTTGAACACAAATATCAGGTGAGGGGAGTAAAGAGAAGAGGAAGGAAGATCATGCAGCATGGTCACATGAGAAGCAGCAAAAACAACAGAAGTAAGAGTGTTAAATACCCATAGTATTAATGCAACAGAGGATGAAAGTGGGATTACCTGATCCTTGTCAGGAAGATAAAGTAAAAGAACAGCTGGTCAAAATCATTGGAAGAGGCAGCAAGGCTCAGCACAAGTAACAGAAGCAGGAGGTCAAGAATCCTGCATCTGAGACAAAGATGGTTGTATAGAACCAATTACTTGCTGCATGATTGCAGTAACATCTCTAACCATCAGATGTCCAGTTGTCAATGAAAGGTAGAAAACAACTCTTGTTGAGGAGTGTCTAAATCTCAGGAGCTGTCAGAAACATGGATATGTTATTTAATATTTGAGACAATCCATGAAATGGTTTTCTCTTGAGTACAAATCAAGAAAATGACTTAAAGAGAACAAGTCAAACTAGTAGCTGAAAGCTAAAGTAATAACCACAATGACAAAAAAAAAACAAAAAAAAACTAGTAAATACCAAG